GGGGGGCGAAATCACTGCTTCTGCTTAGCACCCTTGGGCATCATAAATTCATGCTAAACTAGCGCTAGCTCCACCCCCTTGTTGACATCATCAGAATTGCTGATTTTTAGCCAATCCAATGCTTTCCCATGGCTGAAATCAGCAAGGGGGTGGGGCCAAAAGCCATTTTGGCCAATCAGCACCTCCTGATTGGTCATCAATTCATCTCTATGAGGAAAATCAATGCATCTCTATGAGGAAAATCCAGCATCCCCATGCAGAGTGTGGAGACTCTGAACGGCAAAGCTGCTTACTGTGCAGCACTGAGCCAGGAAGCACCTCCAGTGGCCATCTGAGGAGTGGCCACTTGGAGGTGTCCCTGGGGGCAATGGAAACACAGTTTCCTGTGTTTGCATAAAATTGCCTGAAGGCAATGATTATACTCACCAGAACAACTACATTAAGCTATAGTTACATAGTTACATAGCTGAAAAGAGACTTGCGTCCATCAAGTTCAGTCTTCCTCACATTTGTTTTTTGCGGTTGATCCAAAAGAAGGCCAAAAAAAAACAGTTTGAAGCACAATTTTGCAACAAGCTAGGAAAAAAATTCCTTCTTGACCCCTGAATGACAGTCAGATTTATCCTTGGATCAAGCAGTTATTACCCTACATTGAAAGATTATATCCTTGAATATTCTGTTTTTGCAAGTATGCATCTAGTAGCTGTTTGAACATCTGTATGGACTCTGATAAAACCACTTCTTCAGGCAGAGAATTCCACATCCTGATTGTTCTTACAGTAAAAAAAACCTTTCCCTTGCCTTAGACGAAATCTTCTTTCTTCCAGTCTAAACGCATGGCCTCGTGTCCTATGTAAAGTCCAGTTTGTATTGGCCCCGAATATATTTGTATAATGTTATCATATCCCCTCTCAGGCGACGTTTTTCTAAACTAAATAGGTTTAAATTTGTTAACCTTTCTTCATAGCTGATAAGTTCCCTTCCTTTTATTAATTTTGAAGCCCGCCTCTGCACTTTTTCTAGTGCCATAATATCCTTCTTTAGAACAGGTGCCCAAAATTGCACAGCATATTCAATATGTGGTCTTACCAATGATTTATAAAGAGGCAAAATTATATTCTCGTCCCGAGAATGAATGCCCTTTTTCATGCATGACAATACATTACTGGTCTTGGCCACTGCTGATTGACATTGCACATTGTTGCATAGTTTGTTGTCTATAACAATTCCCAAGTCCTTTTCGTGTGTTGTTATCCCTAATTCGCTTCCATTAAGGGTATACGTTGCTTGTGTATTCTTTACGCCAAAGTGCATAACTTTGCATTTTTCAACATTAAATTTCATCTGCCATTTGAGTGCCCAATCCCCCAGTCTATCTAAATCCCTCTGCAGCAAAGTAATATCTTGCTCACATTGTATTATTTTACAAAGTTTTGTGTCATCTGCAGACACTGAAACATGACTTTCAATGCTGTCGTCAAGATCATTTATAAACATGTTAAATAGAAGGGGTCCCTGAACAGACCCCCGAGGGACACCACTTACTACCTCTGTCCAGCTTGAAAATTTACCATTAATGACAACTCTTTGTACTCTGTTTTTAAGCCAATGTTCTACCCAAGAACAAGCATTTTCATCTAGACCGATTTCGTTGAGTTTGAACACTAATCCATTGTGTGGAACTGTATCAATTGCCTTGGCAAAATCCAAATAGATCACATCCACTGCAACACCCTGATCTATACTTCTAGTTGTTCTGGTGACTATAATGTCCCTTTAACCCAGGCCACTTTCAGCATTTGAACAAAACAGAACGTGAACCTGTGTAAATAAGGCGCTTAAATATGTATAGTGTACAAGTGAATATGGGAGCTGTTGTCACACTATAATAGGGACTCCCCACCCTATTCACAATAGGTTAGGAAATAGTGCACTATAAAACCAACAGGCATATAGTAATAGTGCAAAGTGCGTAGCGCTGAATAAAAATAACACTTACCCCTGGGGGTTATTTTTATTTAGCGCTACGCACTTTGCACTATTGTTTTAAACCCTTAGGGGTAAGTGTTATTTTTATTTAGCGCTACGCACTTTGCACTATCACTTTCAGCATTTGCTGTATAACAAATTCTTTAAAGATAGATTTTTTTACCCAAACCTTTAAAGAAAATTGCAATGCCCAATAACGATTTAGTGAAAACGTAGAAGCTCCAAACTGAATTTTATTGATGACAAATTGTATAGCATCCTGTATGTTAGGATCAGCAGCGCCCTTATTGAGATTCACCATAAACCGATTCCACTCATCCCATGCAAATAAATATGCTTTCCAAGTGATTGATGATAACGATAAACCAAGCAATCGACTTATCTGGGCAAAGTTAGATCCCAGATGTGCTCGGAAAACTTCGTTCCACATTACTCCGCTAGAGGTACGAGGGACCTGAAAGTCGAAATGGGACAAGGATTCAGCTATACAATAACTTTTGCAACTTATATGTCTTGTTTTTACCCATATATTTTTCACCAAGCCGATTAAAACTAATCTTCTCAATAAATTAATGATAGGGATCGATTTAGCTCAAAGATAATTAATTACCCAAACAACTCCCAAGATGTCGCAATAAAAAGCAATTCTCTTATTTTCCAACTCAGAGCCCCATACTTCCAAGGCTACTACTATTGGAAAGAGTTCCAAAAGTGTGATCATTTTAGTCCATTTTTTTATTTTTTTTTTGAGGCCATCCAGTGGCTGCCCATTTCCCTTTGAAGTAAATATCAAAGCCTTGTGAACTAGCTGCATTGGTGAAAATATCTAAATCCCAATTGGATACAAAATTGCCAAATCATGGAACCATTAAAATTACTTAAAAACACATTCCAGACTTGTAAATCATCTTTGATCTGCCTAGATATTCGCAAATACTGGTGTGGATTTTTTAAAACAGGTAACGCACCTGTCTGGATAAAATCCTGGCTAATGGCATTACCCTTGATGCAAAATTAAAGAACCTAACACTGACTGTAACTTGTAATTTAATTATTTTCTCTTCAGGTAAACGAAATGCTATTCTTTCAGAGTCAATCATTATACCCAAAATTGCAGATAAGTATTAGACTAGACTGTTTGTGCCAAATTGTTAAGAAACAGACATGAACATTTTCACTAACTAAAGGATCCAGCTTTCCCGAAGAAAAGAAAATCATTTAATTAGTGAATAGTCGATTGTAAACCTGAAACCTTTTAAGCACCCATTCTAGAAAACACGAAAACTTTCAAAATAAACAAGAGGCAGAACAACCCATGGGCATATACTTATCAAAGTAACATTTACCTTCAAATTGGAAACTTAGTGACCCAAAACAATCAGGATGTATCACTTTAGTGCATCTTCGAAAGAAAAGTATGACACTGAAATAATGGAAGTGTCCACCTCATCATTCAAACAATCACCCTTGGGTAGGATAGATGGTGAATTAGACAGTCATAATTTGTAAATCATTACTAAAGATATCCAGACCAACATTCGAAAGATGAACAAATCACTATAACACAACTATAACTTTACTCACTTTCAAAAGAACACAACTTGCAACCCCCAGAGATTTAACACATGACTTACCATAGTTGTGCCCTCTATATAGCCAGAACTTAAACATCTCAATCACCAATACCATATAATTCTTTAAATGACCAACAAATACCCTTAGGACTCAGCTTTTTTTTTTTTTTTTTACACGTTAGCCTGAGATCTAACTCGACTCTGTGGGAATCTGCTTGGTAGCATAATACTTACCCAACCCCACGTCCTTCATACCACAACGTTTGTGATTAAATATTTTGTCATAATTGTACCCACACAATCCACCGAAATTTTTATAAGCCTCCAGTATTGACTCCACTAATTCCACTAGCCTTATCAGAATGACATTCAAACTATAAACGCTAGCAAAATTGCAAAAGGCCTGTAGTCAGTTTTTAAAAGACCAAGTTACCGGGCGTTTTCTGCCATCCTCTCTTTCTTTCTTTAAAAAGAAACCATTAGACGCTGATAACAAGAAAGAATACCTAAATATTCTTCATTCCATATCTTTTCTTTGATTGAATTTGCTAAATGAAAACCAAGTGGAGAACCTTCAGCAAGCTAAACCTTCTTTTAATCAAGCTTCATTAACAGGTGTACTATTCCTGTCAGGTCGACTAACTGTATTATTTCTAGACATAGGTGACTGTGACAATTTCTCAAAATCCTCCTGAACCCAGGCTAAAGCAGGACTACCCGCCTTTCCCTGTAAAGCCTGAAGTAACACCCCCAGCACCTCTCCTTGCTTAGATTGCTGGGAAACCCCAGGAAAGGACTCACCAGCTAAATTATCCGCTCCTTCTGACAGTACGGCAAACGAGGTACTGGCATGCTCACCGTCTTCAATTATCGGTACTTGCCCAGTTCCAGAAGGCTGAAAGGATTTTTTCTTCCTATTTCCTGCAATCCTCGTCTTCTTGCTTTCTCTGATAGGTGGAGGGGAATAACTAATTCTTGATTTTAAAAACTCTCTACTTTCTCCTTTGAAGCTTACTTCTATCACCCAGGCATATGGACATTGGCTCCTCCTCAGAGTCTTCCCCTTTTGCAGCCTGCGTCTCCTCAGATTCCAAAATGTCCACTAATGTTAGTTCCTGTGGGCGTAAATCAACTTAGGAGGAAGGAGCAGTCAAAAAACACTGCATGAGCCATTCAGTACCACCCATGCTGGACACCCTCCATTTTATTTCCTCAAGTAAGTGCTCCATAGCTGCACTTCTGTTAATAAAACCAAAGCTAAAAACAAACAGCTAACAGGAAAATAGGGAGGGAAAAGGGAACAGTTCTAATCCAAATCTTCACAGCTATTTAGGCATACAGTTTTTCTTAAGCTATTTTGGCGCCAGCTGTTACCTCAGGGCGCCTTATATATTGCAGTTTTCCTGCTTTACAGAGTCCTGGCGGACAAGTGCTCCAATGAGAGCGCTGTCTGCGCGGACCTCTGCACTATATGTCCACGAGGGCATTGCACAGACCACTGTCGATGCCCTCACAACCCACCAGCAACGCTTGCGCATTTACCCTCCCACTGCTAACCCCGCCGAGCACATGTGTACACGGTCAATTGACCGAGTATTGTCTGTCTGTTTCTACTGGGAGTATAAAGAAAAACGGGCTTTATTTACTAAATGTTGTTTTACATTCCAAACGAAAATAAATTAAAAATGTGTATACATATTTTTCGTACAGAGGAGGTTAAGATGGTCTTTATGTTTTGTAGGGTTTATTGTCCATCAGGATGCCTCACTACAAATCTGACTGTATGGGGAACAGATATCTACACAGAGGTAAAAACATACTTAAAGTTTATCTCCACCAAATTGTACAAAAATCTCGTGTTCTTTACCACAAACATTCTGTCTATTAACATATGAAAGTAAAATGCAGAATCGGTGACTATTTTTTATTCACTACCCAACCTCAGGTTCCCCTTTAGCTAAAACAAAGGGAACCTAGAGTGAGTTCTCTGTGGCAATAATCAGCACACTCACTCTTCATGGAGTAACATCCATTACCCCAGCTATATTGAAGTGAATTTGTCATGGCAATGAAGTGGCTTGGGTGCAGTGGCTCTTTAGTCTTAACTCTGCAATCTAAAACAATGCTGTTTAATAGATATGGCAATGTTTTCATTGAAGGGCTTAACACACCTTCTTGTAACTGTCTTCCTGACAGCCACTAGAGGTTCTTAGGCTGTGAGATCCGAGTCAGACTTGGTTCTTACACATCACCTCCTCTGAATACTTATCATAGAGAATTTGATCAGAGGAGTACAGCGCTCACCAATCATGAGTTTTCACCCCCACTGCTCTTCTATGAGAAACACTGGATTGTACGAAAAGACGAAAAAGCAACTTCTGCTTGATGATGATGTACTGTGTGAGTCTCAGCACTGAAAAAAAGTTAATTAAAACCCTTTTTCCTTTTTTTAACTTCATTTAAAGGGAAACTCTAGTGCCAGGAAAACAATCCGTTTTCCTGGCACTGCAGGTTCCCTCTCCCTCCCATTCCGCCAATCCCCGGTTGCTGAAGGGGTGAACACCCCTTCAGTTACTTACCAGAGGCAGCGACATGTCCCACGTTGCTGCTTCTTCCTCCGCCGCCGCTCCTCCCAGTGATTGCGTCGACCGGTGGGCGAGACTGATCCCGCCCACCGGCCGGGGAGACCTAATTTAGAGCTCCCCATAGGAAAGCATTGAAAAATGCTTTTCAATGCTTTCCTATGGGGAAATGAGCGACGCTGGAGGTCCTTACACAGTGTGAGGACGTCCAGCAACGCTCTAGGACAGCTTTTCTGTGCTGTGGACAAGGAAGTGCCCTCTAGTGTCTGTCTAGTAGACAGCCACTATAGGTGGAGTTAACCCTGCAATGTAATTATTGCAGTTTATAAAAAAACTGCAATAATTACACTTGCAGGGTTAAGAGTAGTGGGAGATGGCACCCAGACCACTCCAATGGGCAGAGGTGGTCTTGGTGCCTGGAGTGTCCCTTTAAGGGGGGGGGGGCTAAATCTAAACAGTGAGGAGACACTATAGCATTGGAATATATGTTTATATTTGTAACGCTATGGTGTGCCTTTCACTAACATGAATTCCTTATGCATTAACTGTATAATTTGTCATCATTATAAATATTTAATTACTTTACTAATTGTTAATTGAATACTCACCTCACTGCAGCCATCTTAACAGTTCCCTTACTGTAACACCCACCCCTGGCCTGCCTTCTTTCCATCGCACCCATAAACTTTCTAGTAAAATTTAAAGGCTACTGTCTTATTAACAATAAACAAAGCAATTAAACACAGTTGGCCTATTTCAATTGTATTCTGAGATTGTGATTATTTATTATCCAGTGAAATAGTCATCATGGTATTGACCATGGAAGGATGATATTCAAAACAGGCAAAAAGAGCCTATTTGGGGGGGAAGAAAGTTTAAACATGGCTATTTTAGTCTAATTAGCCATTCAATTTTCAATTCACTGCAATTTGGTGTTTAGTGAATAAATCCTTTTGTCGGGAATCAATCTAGCACTGTAAGTTCTATAAATTATATAGCTGGAGCACTAACCACTGAGCTATCTTATATTATTCTAAACAGTTCATGGCAGTAACATTGTAACTTGTGAAAATTGCTTTAGATGTGTTTATTCTCCATTTCCAGAATTCCTCCATATGTCTGGCAGCTATCCATGCTGGAATTATTACAAATGGGGGAGGATATGTGACCGTGGAGAAAGTGGCTGGACAATCGAACTATACAGGATCCACCAGGAATGAACTGACAAGCCTTAGTTATAATAAATCCGTTAATTCTTTTAGACTGACCACTTCCTATTCATCGAGCACCAGCACAACAACAGCCACTACTAATAGCCCTTCTGCTACCACTGCCATCATCAATACCACAACCACTGTTTCTGCTGTTTCTAATATATCTCCCACATCCAATGCCATGAGCACCACAACTGATAATTCTGCCACCTCGATTCGCGCTAGCACTGCAGCTAATTTATCTTCCACCTCCAATGCCATCAGCACCACAATTAATATTTATACCACCCCGATTCTCACTAGCACTGCAGCTAGTCTATCTTCCTACTCCAATGCTGCTAACCATGCATCTACCTTCTCTTCCACCTCTTCCATTCCTGATACCACTGCATCCCACGTATCTACCACCACCACTGCTAATGCAACTTCCACAGTCTATACAATATCTTCTACCTTGCCATCCTCCAGTATTGCTAGCCGTACAAGTACTTCGGCAAAACCTACAACTTATAACCCAACCACCACAATTTCATCTGTGAATGTTGGTATGTTTTGTTATAAGTCAAATTATTTTTTTTTGTGCTTTATCGAGTAGAATTAAAGGGAGGCTAAATATTTGCGTGGGTGGGCGTATTAATTAAAGTGAGAATTCAAAGTGGATTAAAAGTGCATTTCAAATTTAAGGTAAAAATATCTGAACTGGAAAAATTATCTAGCAGGGCTATTTACTAAACTGAGAAGTCAAAGTGAATTTAAGGCCAGAATAGTCAAACTGAAAGCATGATTGACTTAGATAATTTTTACAGTTTGGCTACTGCAATCGTAAAATTGACTTTGACTTTGAATTCTCACTTTAGAAAATAACTGATTATTTGATTTTAAAGGTTATAAAATTTAAATCTTTACTTGTTTGCCATGTGAAACATCAATGCACTAGTTTAAACTAAATTATCTTAAGAGAGACAAAGTAAAAAAAAAAAAAAAGTATTTTCTCTATAGTGTAACCATTTGTTCTGATTTTGAAATGTTGAAATAATTTAACAGTAATTTCCAACTCTGAAAAAACAAACAAACACAAAAGCCACAAGACTTCCACGTGTTATTTATTTAGTCATAATCATATTCTGTAAAGTTTAATGGTGATAAAGAAAACTCCTATTACGTAGAAACAAAAGGGACACCATATGCAGATGTTTTAATACATAAGGGAACTTATGCATTAACATAATGCAAAAAAATAAAGATACAAAACAAGACTTAAAGGAACACTATAGGGTCAAGAACACAAAGAGGTATTCCACTATCTATCCCCCCTGCCCTACCTTGCCCCTCTAAATATAGTAAAATCTTACATTTATTAGTCTACTGGTGCTTACTATGTCCCTTATCTACAATATAAATATTATCTACCTATAAATCACGTGGAAAGACACACAGTGTGTATGTAGAGAATTATTTTACGTATACAATATTCTTTTTCACTGTAGTATAGATAAAATGACTCCCCCCAGTCCTCACAAACAACATATAGAAAGTATCTACAGTAAAAGAAACAATAAAACTCATAGAGTAGAAGAGTTAAATATAACAATATACTAATGTTTAACGTTGCACTCACAAAAGTATATTGATTGTAGGCGTGTCAAATATTAAAGATGGTATGGAGTCCACAATACGGCAAGGGCATGTAGGAAAAAGTAAGAATATAAAATAAGTGCAGACTCGTGGACATTTATATCTTGCGCTTAGATGAATAAACACTTACAGACTTTTAAGTGATATATGGGCATATCGTGTCCAACAGATGTAATCTCTAATCAGCATCCACAGATAGTCACCATCAAGGATGAGGAGAATTGCTTCTGGAGGCAGCAGCAAATAAAAGAAACATTAGTATATTGTTACATTTTACTCTACTACTCTATGAGTTTTATCTTTTCTTTTACTGTAGATACTTTCGATATGCCCTTTATCTGCCTCCTTGGCTGACATCATCAGAAGTGATGATCTGAGCCAATCACTATGTTTTCCCATAGAAAAGCATTAGATTGGCTGAGCTTGTCAAGGAGGCTGATCAGGGGCAGAACCAGAACAAGCCAAACACAGCCCTGGCCAATCAGCATCTCATCATAGAGATACATTGAATCAGTGCATCGCCATGAGTAGAGTTCAGCGTCTTCAGCACTGCCGCAGGAAGGATGTCTAGTAGCCATCTTAAGAGTGGCAACTGAAGGTACCCCTAGGCCTTTTCTCTGAAAATACAGTGTTTACTGCAAAAAGCCAAAGGTGTCTGATTATACTCACCAGAAAAAATAAAGTCACCAGAACAACAATGTAGTTGTTCTGGTGACTATATTGTCCCTTTAAGTCTTAATTTCCCTTGCTTGATGCCAATCTGATGCTTCTGTTTGAAAAAGAAAGGGACAGAAATTCCTCAATAATTCCTGGTTCTCTTATTAATTTCAGTGACCAGTATTTACTAAAGTTAGATTTCCTTAGTCCAGATTTGTATGCAGAATTCAAAATCCCAACATCATTTAAATTATTTGAAGCAACACTCCGGGCACCATAACAACTTTGACTCAATGAAGATGTTATGGGGCATGAAAGTTCTGGGCATCATCTTATCTTAAGAGGTTAAACTGTTTATGAAATGATACACTTTCAATTCTCAACAATTCATACTTTAGTGAAAAACCCTGTTTGTGGAAATTGAATCTTCCACAAATATTCAAAAATGTAATCTTTGTTAAATATTTTAGAATGTATGCGATCTGTCCTTGTTTTTTTTTTTTTTTAAACTTCTAGGAAATTCTATTTCTTGCACGTCTACAAGACAGAATTGCACATGTTGACAGTGTGCAGTGTATTACAAACACAACTTTCTATTCTTTATTTTCTCATTTTTTTACGGTTTTATAGCTTGATCTGTGTAATTTCACAAATACGACATTATGGTATAACAAATTATGTTTTTCAGGTTTAGTAAAATGTTTTGACCCAGCAAATCTTTACAACGGGGATATCATAACGTAGGTAGACATTTCAAATCACACCTTTTTAAAATGAGAATTATAAAAGATGTACTCCACTGTCCACAAATGATTTTGATTATAAAAGGTGATTGTAAAAACACATTTCAAAACTTCATAAATGTAAACTATAGATTATAGGTAGTACAAGCTTGACAAAGACCTCTCAGTAGGTGGATACATCATTTGCTTTCCTGGAACCTCACAAAATGATGGATTGTTTTTTACAAACTATGGCATGCTTAACTATCCTTTTCTATTCATATCTCACTGGACAGAGGAACCAGAGAACCATGTCCTCTTGTTAAATATATCTGAGTAGCGTTAATTGTGAGAGCGCTAGTTACCAATCTTGCTATCTGATGTGGAGAAGGCCAACAGCAAGGATGTGCATGGGCAAAAAATTTGGTCAGGTTCAACACTTCCAAAATTCGGGACTTCTGAAATTCGGACTTCAGCAATTCCCTAACCCCTACCCCTAACCCTACCCCTTAAGATTAACCCTACCCCTAACCCTAACCACCACAACCACTTACACATCTAGGGTTAGAATTAGGGGTAGAGTTAGGGGTTAGGGTTAGATTCCTGTCATCATTTACGTAATTTTCCCTCCCTCTCTTGTTTTGCCACTTTTCAGAAATCTGCAGCACTTCAGCCCTTCCGGAATTCGTCACTTCGGCAATTCGGTTCAGTGCTTCCAAAATTCGGCACTTCGGCAATTCTGATGTTCAGAAGCATCCAAATGTCTGAATTGCCAAAATTCGTCTGAATTTACATTCAGAACGAAACAAATTGCACATGTCTAGCCAACAGCCATCCGGGACATAGAGAGGTATGTCTAGGATTTAGACATACCTCTCTATTTTGGGTTGGGTGGCTACAGGCCACATTAAAGTAATTAGAGTGCTGGAAATGGTCAATACTTTGAGACCCCTATTTCAACATGCATGTTTTACACATAAATGTGTCAGTGTAATATGATACGCATAGTAACGTACATCATGCACATCATGCACATGTTGCTATAATGTGTGTGTGATGTATGCTTGTTTGTTGTGTGTAGAATGTACATGTGTGTCAAATATGTATAATGTGCGTGATGCATGTGTAGCAAAAACATATTGGCACTTGATGGGACACTGCTCGGTGTGCTAATTAGAACAAAACGATGCACTCCCATGACAGTGATTTAATTGTACAATTCTACGAAATTTGTTGGCGCTATATAAATAATAAAATAATAATAGCTATTGCACTAAAAAGAAAAAGAATAATCAACATTTCAAATATATATATATATATATATATATATATACATACATACACCTAGGCATAACTAGAAATCACGGGGCCCCAGTGCCAAAATTGCCCTAGGGCCCCCACCACCATCCCCCCATACGTGTATCCTCCCCCTCCCATACGTTCCACCCACAGATGCAGACAAACAGATACACATGCAGACACGCACATAGACAAACACATATACAGAGACACACACATACAAACACACACAAACATACACATACAAACACACATACATACATACATACATACAGACACATACATACAAACACACACACACATATACAGAAACATAGACAGACATACACACACACACAGACATACAAACACAGAGACATACACAAACATACATACATACAAACAGACACACATACATACACACACACACAGAGAAACATTTATACCGTTCCTGTGGAACTCCCTTCCCTTTTCCGTTAGATGCTCACCTAGTCTCCACTAAAAACTCACTTTTTCACAAAAGCATATCAATTAAACTGTTAATGGCTCCAAAACCCCACACTAAGTCTTCATTGAATACTATTCTACCAATCTACTCTCTAATACTTCCCTTATCTTTTGTGTCACTTTACCTTACTCCCTCTAGCATGTAAGCTCATTGAGAAGGGCCCTCAACCCCTCTGTTTCTGTGCATCAAACTTGTCTAGTTACAAATACATGTTTGTTAGTCCACCCATTGTAAAGCACAAACTGTTGGCGCTATAAAAATATAATAGTAATACAGACACACATTCATACAGACACACATACACAAACACAAAATGTTTAAGTCACCCTCCTGTTTCCTACCTTTTATATGCAGGAGGGTGACTTCCCTGGGGTCCAGTGGTGGCTCAGACTGATGCGAGTCACAGTTCCCACTCTGACTCTTTCCTCTTCTTCCTCCTGCGCGGGTCCCGGTGGTTGCTGGGAGTAAGTGACTGGGGCTGTCACTTCCTTCCAGCTGTGATGTCATTAAAGGGGGCCCGGTCGTGCTGTTAAAGCGCCACCCAATGGGCCCCTTCAATGCTTCCCTGACGGTTCTCCTCACGGGCCTGCGACCGCGGTAGTTCCGCCACTATATATATATATATATATATATATATATACACACACACATATACACCAAAAAGGTTATGGTGGGGAATACATTGTAATTGAAAATCCCTTCCACCTGAAGTCTGTGGATAGTTAATAAAATGTTAAACAAAAATCTGCACAAGACTTGCTTTTCCAAAAGAAATAGCAAATTTGCAGTGATGTTACTACTGCAAAGGATTCTGGGTGGGCATATGCAAATTAATTTAACAAAGAATCACATTTCTGCCTCATTCCATTTTAAACATTGATTCCTTTGAGTCTGTGTTTGCTGTATACAACAGCTTTGAAACAGTCCCTCGGGGCTGGGTTCTGGCACCGCCTCCCACCCCCGACAGCTTGTGAGGAGCAGGTGCTATTGCGCATGCGTGGCAAACGTCGCACGCATTAGACCTCCCCATAGGAACACAATGAATCAATGCTTTCCTATGGGGAAAAAATCTGATGCTGGAGGTACTCATGCAGAGCGTGAGGACGTCCAGCATCATTTGCCGGACCAAAGGTCCGTTACGATTCAGGAAGCCCTCTAGTGGATGTCTGGTAGAGAGCCACTCTGGGCTGACTTAGTGCTGCAATGTAAACATTTAAGCACAAAAGGGACACAGCACCCAGACCACTTCAATTAGCTAAAGTGTTCCGGCTTGCGAGGAGCGGGTGCTATTGCGCATGCGTGGCAAACGCCACACGCATTAGACCTCCCCATAGGAACACAATGAATCAATGCTTTCCTATGGGGAAAAAAATCTTATGCTGGAGGTCCTCATGCAGAGCATGAGGACGTCCAGCGTCATTTACCGGACCAAAGGTTCGTTACGATTCAGGAAGCCCTCTAGTGACTGTCTAGTAGATATACATTGCAGCACTAAGCGCAAAAGGGACACAGCACCCAGACCACTTCAATTAGCTAAAGTTGTCTGGGTGCCTACAGTGTCCCTTTAAGGAATTATAAATTATAAAGTTTACTTAAAAATACATGAGCTGTAAATAATTTCAAGTGGTCAACACTTCACAGTTGGTTTAGAAATTAAATAATTTAGAAAAATTTAACATATTTTGGGTATATTAGCAAATAGATGATCGTTTTCTAAAAGATGTGTAATTTTTTATTATTAAATTAGGGTTCGCTGTCCATCATCGTGTGACTTCAGTCCTTTGGTTTGGGGAACAGACATATATGAAATTGTAAGTTTATTTCTCAGATTCATATATATGTGAATTGTATGTTTATTGATACCATTTAAAATCTATATTTAATGTTACACTAGTGCATATCATTAATGGCTCTCCACTATATTTCCCATAATGCTCTGCCAATCATACAGCATCAAAGGAAAACCGCAGTAATGCTAAGAGTAAGTAATCTCTTTGTGTGTCTGGTTACTAAAAAGCAAACAACATCTCATCAAAGGTTCATCAAAGTTAATGTGACCACATGGAACAAACATGTAGCGAGCCTTCCAAAAAGTATTTGGTGCTTAAAGGACCACTATAGGCACCCAGACCACTTCAGCTTAATGAAGGTCCAGCTAGGGTTAACCCGGCCTGCTGTAAACATAGCAGTTTCAGAAAAAATGCTATGTTTACAGTTGGGTTAATCCAGCCTCTAGTGGCTGTCTCTTGCCAGCCGCTAGAGGAGCTTCCGCACTTCTCACTATGATTTTCACAGTGAGAAGACGCCAGCGTCCATAGGAAAGCATTGAACACATATTGGGGTGTTCTTGTGTTGTTGAACACATATTGGGGTGTTCTGGTCACTAAGGGGTTAAAGCAGGTCTACAAATTGAAAAATATAGGGCGTAGACATTTAAAAAAAGGAACTATAGGGAAACTCCTCCGCAGTTTTTTTTTTTTTTGCTTTCTCAATAGTGATGTCCCGAACGGTTCGCCGAACGGTTCACCACGGACTCATCATTGAGTAAACTTTGACCCTGTACCTCACAGTCAGCAGACACATTCCAGCCAATCAGCAGCAGACCCTCCCTCCCAGACCCTCCCACCTCCTGGACAGCATCCATTTTACATTCATTGTGAAGCTGCATTCTTAGTGTCACAACAGTGACCCCTTCACACAGCGTGAAACCCACAGAAAGACGGTTACCGGACCTTAGAATGGCCGGACTAGCGTCTGAGAATAGTTAAAGGAATAGCCAGAGGTCAAAGGAATACGGAAGACGGGCACACGATTATCCAAGCCAAGTAACGGGAAACCAGAAAACAGAATAGTCGGAGAGATAGCCAAGGGTCAAATACCAAGAAGGATAAACAGAGAAAATAGCACCAGAGGACTTAAACAAGAACCACACTAGGGCATCTGACCAGTGTCATGATAGCCCTTTTATAGTGTGGGTTCTTTGGCTTTAATTTTGAAGCCACGCCCCCAAAATGTCCGGGAGCGTGGCCACGTTTGAATTTTGGCGGCATTTTCTTTCTGATGTCGGCGCGCATGCAGACGAACCAGACGAGGGGCGTGAACATCAGAGGCATCCACCCACAACTGTTCTTCGAGACCGTACCCTTTCCAATCAAGGAGATATTGCAATTTACCCCGAGAAATCTGGGAATCCAATATAGACAACTTCGTATTCAACATGATCCTCCACGGGTGCAGCAGGAGGAGTGGAGATATTCTGAGTGTAACGATTACAAATGAAAGGTTTGAGAAGGGAAATATGAAAAGCGTTAGGAATCTTCATAGTATTCGGCAATCTCAAACTATAACAGACTGGATTGATACGTTTGAGTATTTGAAACGGGCCTATGAAACGGGGAGCGAATTTCATCGAGGGTACCTTTAACTTTATGTTGCGGGTACTCAGCCATACCCTGTCACCTGCTACGAACGTAGGAGCAGCCCTGCGTCATCTATCTGCATTTTTCTTTTGAATCTGAGCCTTTTGAGTTAAGATATGTTTAACCCCTAACCAAGTTTCTTTCATATTGTTAAGAGTGCTGTCAACACTAGGCACTCCTGTAGATGAAAAAGAACTTGGCAAAGTTGTAGGATTAAAACCATAATTAATAAAAAAAGGGACTATGTTGAGTGGATTCGTGCATCAGATTATTATGGGCGAATTCAGCCCATGGAAGCAGTTCCACCCAATCGTCTTGGTGCTCAGAAGTGAAACAGCGGATGTATTGTTCCAGGCATTGATTCATCCTTTCCGTAACCCTATTAGATTGGGGATGGTAAGAAGAAAATAGGTTAAGGATAATACCTAATTGGTCACAAAATGCCCTCCAGAACCGTGAAATGAACTGTGGACCCCTGTCAGAAGTAATATCTTGAGGTATGCCATGTAAACGTACTACCTCTTTTATAAATAAAGAGGCCAGTTCAGAAGAGGAAGGCAATTTGATTAGTGGGATGAGATGAGTCATCTTAGAGAATCTGTCGATTATAGTCAATATAACCCTATGATTCTTGGAGGGAGGTAGGTCCACTACAAAATCCATAGCAATACTTGACCAGGGTTTATCGGGAATGGACAATGGCAAAAGTAGGCCCAAAGGACGACCTTTGGATGATTTTGTGGAGGCACAGACCCTACAAGCAAGAATGAACTTGCGAACGTCCTTCTTGTATGAAGGCCACCAAAACTGTTCTTCGAGTAAAGACTCAGTTTTGTGAATGCCCGGATGCCCTGCCAATTTGGAGTTGTGTACAAGGAATAAGACCATTTTTCTATAAGCCAAGGGTACGTATAATTTTCCCCTGGGAATAGTCAATGAGGTCTGATCCTGAAACCTAGATAATTCCTCCAGTAACCCTGAAGAGATTTTGGCATGGACGGTGGCAATTATGTGGTTGGATGGGATTATGGAAGAAAAATTAGTTACTGTAGGTGATAAGTGTTCATGTTGACGGGATAAGGCGTCAGCCTTAGTGTTCTTTGATCCTGGTCTGTAAGTTACTATGTAATTGAATCGAGTTAAAAATAAAGACCATCGAATCTGCCTGTCTGACATTCTTTTAGTTTCTCCAAAATACGAAAGGTTTTTGTGATCCGTAAGGATGGGGATAGGAATGGTTGACCCTTCTAACAGATGGCGCCACTCCTTGAAAGCAGAGATAATAGCCAATAATTCCCTGTCCCCAATGTCATATCTCTTTTCTGTCTCAGTTAATTTCTTAGAAAAAAATCCACAGGGATGCAATGGTTGATCATCAGATGGACGTTGAGATAGCACCGCTCCAATACCGGTTTTAGATGCATCCACCTCTAATATAAAAGGACGTGAGGGATTGGGATGTCTCAAGACCGGTGCAGAAGAAAAAGCCAATTTAAGTCTCTCAAAAGCATCCTTGGCCTCGAGATTCCATTCCATAGAATTTCGTCATTTTTTGGTCATGGCAGTGATAGGTGC